AATCATCGCGCTGCCAGAAGCACTACATCGCCCTGCCATGGCCGGCCGCTGCCGCTAGAACTCAGCGCGACTCCCTCACTCTGCTTGCCTCTGCTGCGTCGGCGCACGCCATCCTGGTGCCGCAGCTCTGCCTCCTCGCCGCGTCACCACCAACTCTGCCGGTGTCGGCCCTCTCCCGCACCACGCCTTCGTCGTCCGTGCCACTGCAGCGCCCCGCTGGGCCGTGCCACCACTGCATCCTCACCGTCGGTTCCCCTCTCGAGCGCGCTTGGGCCCACGTTGCCCGCAGTCGCCTCACCGCGGAGCCGCTCGGTCTCGAGCGCCAACACACATGGCCGAGCTCCACGCTCTAGCTCGGGCCGAGCCGTGTCCTCCAGCGGGTGCGCTCAGGCACCGGGCAAGCCATGAGGCCGCCTCCCCACCGCCGTCGACAAGCACACGGCCGGATTTCGCCGCCGGTCGGTGGCTCTGCCCCGTCCTCTGCTTTTGGGGAAATAGAGAAAAGGTGAGAAGGTGAGGACGTAAATGCGTAAATAGAGATAACAGTAGGGGTCTAGGTGCGATAAACGTGACTCTAATGAATAGTGTAGTTGGGACTGCGAATCGATTTGGTAAAACTACAGGGTCCTTTTTGCATAATTACGCGTCCTCTCTGGATCTTGGCCGCGTGGGCCGACTGTTGGGCCGTGGCCTGCGCACCTGGCTCGACCGCGCCACCTTCTGGCCTGTCGTCGCTGCGCTGGGCCGGCATGCCGCGCGCGCCCTTTGGCCGCCCGCTACCTGCGAGTCTGTGGGCCGGCCTGCTCGCGCTGCCGGCTTGGTCCGTCTGCGCCTGGGCCTCAGGCCGGGCTCGCCCGCACGCTGGGCCGGCCGGTTGCCTGCGCCTGGGCCAGCCGTGTGCCGCTTCCGCGACTGGGCCGCTCGCGCATGTGCGCGCCTGCAGGCCGAGCTAGGCCGTTTCGGCCTGTATCTGTTTGTGTGTTTTTCGGTTATTTTGGTTAGATCAGTGTTGTTCGAAAATTGAAAATAAAGTATAGAAAAATTATAAAAATGTCAAACCAGTTTTGTTACTATCCTAAAATCATGATCTACCTGTTAGTATAGTTTGTTCACATAGTGTGATAATATTCTTGGAAGCTATATAATTAATTTAAGGTACTTGATATTGTAAAATATAAACTTATAGGAATTTTCATGATAAATTGGTAATATTATTGAATCTGAAATTTGTACAGTAGGCTCCTAGAAATAATAGGTACTCACTGTAATTTTTGTAGCTTTAGAATAATTAGTTTGCTAAATAGATAATGATGTCCTATTGCGAATAAAGATTAAATTGATAGAATAGAAATAAAGAAACAACCTTGATTTATATAACTAAAATAATTGTTGTGAAATAATGTCTTATCCGACAACGTGTATATGTAGCCTAAGTACGGTCGTCGTTAGAACTAGTCGTTAACTTGAGAGGCGTAAATCGTATTTTACGAGTCACGATTGCAGTCGATTAATTATGTCTTTACATTGCATCGCGTTACATATCATATAGGTACGATGATGGAACGGATCAATTGAAGGATGATTGGAAATCTAAAGATGGTGTAATGGTATTCTCTCTAGGAGATGATGCAATGGGCTTTCTATTCAGTTGATGGTGGATGATCTAAAGATACAAATACTAACTTTTTAATATATATCCTACCTAGACAAGCCCCGGTGCATAATCGCTATTTTCTGCAGTTTAAATTATATTTGTGCATTAAGTTTTAAGGAGTTGAATGAAACCCACTTGTATATATATCTTTATCCTATGAGTCTTACTAATATGACAGGATCATGTAGATTTCTATGCTACAAGACTTCGGTAGAAGTCGAGTGATTGCCTGTCACTCGCGAGATATAGAAAATATATTATTGGATTATCATCACTTGGAAAATATAACTAGTGGAAAGAAAAAATATTGATCGGGCAGGGATATGGTTTGGGTATTGGTGGGTGTAAGAGGTTGTGTCGCCATGGACGCGAGGCATGGCTTGGTTACACTGCTTTTCCCCTGTCTGGTCGGTTAAGAACCGGCTGTTGCAATGGACGCTAGACAAGTCACAGATCTATTGTCCCGAGCACATACTTGGGTATGGGCGCTTGGAAGACTTGTTGCTCTCTTGTCGTGGATCCGTCTCTTTTCGGACCGACTGTTAGGGTTTCTTTTTGATGGAGGAGGTCCTTGCACCGCACTAAGTCCGGGACTCTGGTACGGGGGCTTGGAGTCCCAATTTGGACGGAGACCTAGACACCCAGGACAGGAGGGTAATGGGTTGGTCCTGCTTGTACCTTGGGTACAAGCGGGCGTGTTTTCGGGCACCCAGCTGGGGGTATTGATTCGTGAATCACCGGAAATCCGGTACGGCTTGTTTTCATGCCTAGCATCATAGTAAGAACTGAAAGATGAAAGATAGAAGATGGAAAAAGGAAATTATATTGCTTACCACCTACTTGAAAGTAGTACAGGTGCTTACATAGAATGGTTAGTTAATGAATCAATGCGGCTATTAATAAAAATCGAATATAAGGCGCACACTTAGTAATGCTTCCTGCAAATGTAATAAACCCATAAGCTAGATAGCCTTTGCATATCCTTAGAGTCTTTTACTTTTCTCCTGTCGGGTAAGTCTTGCTGAGTACAATTGAGTACTCAGGGTTTTATTCCCCTGTTGCAGGTGACAGGTGAAGGCTTGAGCTGACCTTTGTGTGTGAATTCCTCCTGGTGGGCTCAGAGATGATTTCCTTTACTCTACGATCGTAGTTTTTATTTATGACTCTCACCAAATGTTTTATGAATGAAAGCTTTATAATCTGTTGTCATAGCTTATCTATCAATACTTCATCATGCCATGAATAGATATTTATTTTCGTTGTAATTCTGATCACATGTTTATATTCCGTTGTTAAATTAAATTATTTATAACTCTAATAATATGAATATATTCTGCTTGTTATAATAATAAATATTATACTCTGATGTTGTATTAAAAGTGATGTAAGAAATTGTTAAGAATGATGCAAGCTTTATTCTCTCATTTGTGATCCTGATGGCAAAAATATGGATTTTCGGGTTCTCCCCTAGGGCTGTGCCCGACGGAACTGAGTAATTTAGTGTCCTCCCCTGAGTGCTTAGTATCTAATGGAAGACGAGCACTCCTGAGAGGCATTAGATTAGGCGGTTCTGCCACAGCCACCCCACGACGTCATCTTCCATGTGCCGGCCATGATGGCCGCGGCGTTGAGCACGGAGAGCGTGGTGGCCGGGAGCAGCAGGGTGGAGCAGCCCGTGAAGTCGAAGACGTCGTCCTGGTACAGCCTCCCGTCCAAGGCATGCACGCCGAGTAGCTCCTGGGCGGCGCTGACGCAGCCGAAGAGCTGACCGGTGAGGGCGTTGAGCACCCAGAACCTCTGCTCGTTCCACCACATGCGCAGGTCCAGCCTCCCGCGCCTGGCCACGCACACCTCCGCCAGGTGCTGCAGCAACGAGGACGCGAACGCGCAGCTGCGGCGCGGCGGTGGGCGGGAAGAGCGGGGCGCCGCGGAGGAGGTAGAGCTACGGCGGTGGCGTAGCGAGCACCGAATGGCGTGAGCGCGGAAGCTAAAGTAGGCGTATCCCATGGCATGGAGCAGGGAGGAGTGGAGGAACGGGCGGCAGGCGAGCGGGGACTGCCTCCTGGAGACGCCGACGGCGAGCATCCCGGACATCTAGCGCTTGTTCTGGACCAGCACGTCGTTGAGGTTGGTGGGCATGCTGCCGAGGAACGCCGGCCACGGCTCTGGGTAGTAGTAGGCGGACGTCCAGCCCCGCGAGAAGAAGCGCTGGTACCCGTGAAGTAGTCCTCCACCACCGACTGGTACATGAAGCCGACGCCGGTACCCTAGGCTGTGCCCGCCTCATACGCGCAGGAGGCCACTAGCGCCAGGGTTGAGATGATCCGGGCTCGGTTGCTGTGCGCCGCCGTGAATCGGCGAGCTCGGCTGCGGCGCAGGGAGGCGGCGTCCGCGTCCGTAGCCTGCTCGCGTACCGTCATGCTGCTTGCGCGCTGCCGCCGTAGCCTGCTCGCCGCCGATGACGGGAGGAAAGAGAGGTACCAGCGTGGCACGGTCAAGGCCAGCTTGGCATGGTTAAAACCGCCCTACGTCTGACAAAACCGCCACACCCGCGACGAGATGTTAAAAGTGAACGGTCAACACTAGACGGTTTTATAGTTGGTGGTTAAAATCAGACGAACACGATAGTTGAGGGGCCAAAAGTGGACTTAATCCATATATATATATATATATATATATATATATATATATATATATATATATATATATATATATATATATATATACTCCCTCCCTTGTACTACTTCACTGCGGTGGAGGTGGAGCGGAGGTTGGCTTCGTTCCTGCTTGTGCTACCACGAGTTGGTATTGTTTCTTCCAAAACACATCATGGGCGACGAGGCCGCGTCCATTTCTTCTCCTGCAGAGTCCCAAACGCAGCCTCAACAATCCGCAGCTGTAAGTGCTGCAAATTCCGTGTTTGTTTGTTTCGTGCAGGTGCAGTGCTTAAGCCCGGTTTATTACTTCACGTGGTTTGTTTGATTACAGCCTCTCTCATGCCTGGTCAAGCATATGTTATAGTTGTGTCATCTCTGATATGTTATTATATGTGTGTGTATATGTGAACCTTTCCTCTTTTTTTTTTGTAAAAGTACTACTACTAGTGTCCTACATGAAGTTATAATTTTTTTTGGTTGCCGCCTCGATGATTGTTTGCTGGGTTAGATGTGTTTGCATGCTGTGTTACTTGCTTTCTATACACCTTATGAGGACTGAAATGGATTTTTATTTTTTCACCCCAAACAATTGCTAGGCTGAACATGGTGTAGAGAGTGTCAAGCGACAGCTCTGCAGGTTAATTGCATCTTCCCTGTCTGCAACCGTACCTGGCCTGGATGTGGAGCCAATGCTTCAAATCTCCAAACCAGGGTTTGCTGACTACCAATGGTATGCCTTTGGTCGCTTCGCATAGTGTTTTCATTGATCAATTAATAATGAAATAATGAGTACTATTTGCGTACTGGCTTCAGTTTTACACTGTGTTGTGAACCATCTGCAGCAACAATGCAATGAGCTTATTCTCGAGTTTACAAGGATCGGCTACAAACTTCCGAAACCCCAGAACTATTGGACAGGTTTTGACCTGAATTTTCTATAATTAGTTATGCACTTGCCTTGTTTTTTTTTTAATAATTCCCCTAACATGTTAACTGTTAACATGTTCCAGGCAATTTTGAATAACCTGCCTGCTTCGGACATTGTTGAATCCGCCTCTGTTGCTGGGCCTGGATATGTCAACATAGTCATATCCAGTGACTGGATTGCTCAGGTCCAATTCAGATGCTTGATCCTTGAACCCTGCTAATGCTTCTGGTCATACCATTCCTCCATGCTAATAATAAGCCTCACATTTGCAGAGGATACAAGACATGCTTATCTATGGTATCAAAACATGGGCGCCGACCTTGCCAGTTAAGAGAGCTCTGTTTGATTTTTCCTCTCCTAATATTGCAAAGGAGATGCACGTTGGTCATATCAGGTCAACTATACTTGGAGATACACTAGCACGCATGTTTGAGTTTGCAAATATCGAAGTTCTTCGACGCAACCATGTGGGAGACTGGGGCACACAGGTATTGAGTTTGAACGTGTGGAGGTTGTAATTATAAGAATATTGGTTAGATCTTTTTTAATTATTGGTAAAATTCATTTTACCAGTTTGGCATGCTGATAGAATATTTGTTTGAGCAATTCCCAAATTGGGAGGAGGCTGGCAATCAGGCCATTGGAGACCTTCAGGTAAGAGCTGGCATTTGCAATTCAAGAGTTGGGTTGTTGATATAATATCTTAAATTCTTAATGGATAAATTTGATCACATTATGCATCTTTTGTGCACCATTTTGTATGACCTCTTAGCTAGTATTTTCTTATAACGCCTCACTTAAAAATTGATTGGTTAACCTGTTCCCTTTCTCAAATTGACACAATTTGACAATTGTAGGTAGCTGCTGTATGGCAATTTATGTAATATATCAAAATACTAAACTAACGGAAGCAAACAAAGTCTTTCTTGGAGTAAATGTGGAATCATGATTGTGTTCTATACTGGACACATTTGTAGTGCATGTTACTGAGATAACTATCACTGTGCTTATAGTGTTTCTTTGTACTAGTGCGCCTTTTTTTCAAAAAACTTTGGATTTTGTAAGACTTCATATTGCACGATTTGTTCAAAAAGAACATTCATATTGCACGAGATCTCCTTTGTTTAAACATCTTCCCAGTATATTGCATGATTCAGCTTCAGCAAGAAGTTAGTTTTGTCCCTTTGCTACAGAGCTTCTACAAAGCATCTCAGGCAAAATTTGAAGATGAGGGAAGTGGTTTTAAGGCTAAAGCTCAGCAAGCAGTAGTTCGGCTGCAGGTGAGTGTTCTAATCCTGAACGTTCAGTCTACTGTTATGGCATTACTTATTCTCATATCCAAGCAATACTTGGCTGTAGCAAGGGGAAGAAAGATACCAAGCTGCTTGGAAAAAAATATGTCAAATCAGTCGCACTGAGTTTGAGTCAGTATACAAACGTCTTGGTGTGGAGCTTGAAGAAAAGGTACTTTATTTACTTCTCTCCTTGATTACCAATGACGTTGTAGTGTATATTTATTGCTATGTTCATTTCTTTACTATCAGTAGAATAACTTATTCACATTTGAGAAAATCACTCCCTGTAGACTACTAGATAAGATTATTTTCAGTTACTTGTGGTATCCTGCAGATAGTTTCATACACGTTTCCTGTTGGTCCTTGCTTGAAGGAATGACATCTAATAAGACGTAATGTGTGCTCAGTGACTGGCTCCAAAGGTTTAGCCTGAATTTAAGATTTCATTAAATAATTATGTCCTTGCGCATAAAAAACGTTGGAGGTTGATGGGCACTGATAAATTGCTGTTCGAATACATTTTTGGAAGGCAATTCTAAAAGTTCTCGTTATTATCTCCATGCTTGTTTGAATTCAAGTTCATCTTACCAAACTTAACAGAATAGCAAACAAATGTCATGTTCACATTTTTTCATTACTTTTTCGAATGCTCTAAAGTGAGCTGACTAAGTGTAAATCTTCTCAGGGTGAGAGATTTTACAATCCTTACATCCCTCTTGTTCTGGAGGAATTGACAAACAAAGGCTTGGTTAAAGATGATAAAGGTGCTCGAGTAATATTCACTGAAGGCCAACGATCCCCGTTGATTGTGGTCAAAAGAGACGGCGGCTTCAACTATGCCTCCACAGACTTAGCCGCTCTTTGGTCAGTCGTGAAAACAGAAATTTACAAATTTGTCCTTTTTTGCATCTTCTCTCTCAGAAGGCACAGATTATTGTTTCATGTTTCTGTGTGATACTATATGCCAACAGTTCTATCCAATAGCTCTAGCACTCATAAATTTACTGCCCTAGTTTTTATGAACTCTGGCTCTGTATCTTTTCCCCTACTCGTGAAGGTATCAGTTTAATGTGGAGAAGGCAGAATGGATAGTATACCTAACAGACGTAGGTCAGAAGCAACACTTCCATAAGATTTTCAGCGTGAGTGCCAAATCCCACGTTAAATGACAGGATTTGTACTTCGGTGAAACTGATTGTAGGCTGCTACCATGGCTGGCTGGCTCAGGATTTGTACTTCGGTGAAACTGATTGTAGGCTGCTACCATGACTGGCTGGCTCCCAGATGAAAACGAACAAAGGTACCCAAAAACGACCCATGTAGGCTTTGGCCTTGTTCTTGGGTTAGATGGCACGCGTTTCCGAACTCGTTGCTCCGAAGTAGTTCGACTGGTAGATCTACTTGATGAAGCTAAATCTAAGTGCAAAGCACAACTTATTGAACACCTTACTGAAAATGGTACTTGATATTTTGCTTCTGTTTCATCTTCTTGTTTTCAATATAATTCTCTACGTCTGCACACAACACCAATACTATAATTTTTCCCAGAAAAAATTGCTGGCTGGACAGATGATGAGCTTGACAGAATTTCAGAAGCTATAGGATTGGGCGCTGTTAAGTAAGTCTGAATTCTCTTTCTTTCACCTATTTTGCTTAAACTAGTGGCTTTATCTTTTCCATATCCATTCTTCCAACCCTGTGGCAAATATCTTTTAATCGGCGTGATCTAGCATTATCCTATCTCACATACAGATTTTCTATTGTATGAGGAGATTTGTTTCCTTGTCTCATATAGCATGTGCATTGTGCTTGGAAAGCAGCTATTGATGTGCCTGGACCGTGACTAGGGGCTCTTGGTGGGTTTCAACTCTAACCTACCCCAACTTGTTTGGGACTGACAGGCTTTGTTGTTGTTGTTGTATATAGCCTGTGCATAATACAGACAGTGCGCGTGTTTAAGGGTTTCAAAGTTACATATCTCCTTTTACTTTCTGCTGGGCGTTAGATTGCTCATGACTGTACTATTCTGATGATGCTTTTCTATCTAACTGATCCCTTGAAATTTAGGTATGCAGATCTCAAAAACAACCGACTAACAAACTACACATTTAGTTTTGAGAAGATGCCAAGTGACAAGGTACCTTCATTTAATAAATCTGATATATTTCAACCTTGTCAAAAACTGCAACCTGATTACTTAGATGATGACCACATCATATGGTTCGATGAGCAGGGAAATAGCGCTGTCTATCTTCAGTATGCACATGCTCGTATCTGTTCCATTATCCAAAAGGCCAACAAGGATATTGAAGAGTTGAAAACGGTAAGCCTTTCTTTGTGCTTCGAACCAACAAGTGACTCCTTCAAGCAGAACAATTTGATACACTTCGAGCCTGTCCTTAAAGCAGAACATCCAAGTGATTGCTGACGGTTGTTCCTCTCTTTGTTGCGGGTTTCAGAAGGCGGCTATTACCTTTGTCCATGCTGATGAGCGTGCCTTAGGGCTACATCTCATCCGGTTCCAAGAGGTATGTTCTAGGAGTTCTTGATGGAAGCACTACTGTTGGCCTTGATTCTGGTAGCTCTTGAATCTGTCTCAATTTGCAATTTTCAGTAAGGCGTCTGAACATCAATAAATTACCGATATAATTTACTGAGTGCAAAGCACAACTTGCTTAACATCAATAAGTGCAAAGCACAACTTATTGAACGCCTTTCTGAAAGTTATATTGGTAGCTTCATCAATAATTTACCGAAATAGTTTGACTGGTAGCTCTACTTGATTCTGGTGGCTCTTGAATCCGTCTGTGAGCTGTGATTTACACCATTTTCTGAAGTTATTCTAGGAATTACTGACTATGACAACTTCGGTGAAGAATGAATCATCTTAATCTTGTGCTATTTACGTTGTTGAGCAGGCCTGCGTCGATCTATTTCCCCATTATTTGTGCGACTACTTGTACAGCCTATCCGAAGCATTCTCAAAGTTCTACACAAGTTGCCAGGTAGTACCATTCTTGTTTGCTATCGCTTCTCTCCACATCACCTCATGTTTCTGAACTGCCCACTTCTGCACCAGATGTTAACACAAGTGCCTGTTTCTCCCTTATCGACTCCGCAGGTCGTTGGGTCACCTCAAGAAACGAGCCGTCTTCTTCTTTGCCAAGCGACGGCAATTGTCATGTGGCAGCGTTTCAATCTTTTGGGCATCACACCAATCTATAAGTTATAAAAACTCTCAATTTGCATGGCACCTTGTTGCCGTTATTGGTCTTGTAGCATATATATCCTCTCTCGACAGAAAGAATTTGGAAGTTCTATTAAAAAAAAAGGATGTAAATAGTTCCAACAAAAAATAGATCGTAAAGCTAGTTTTCATATTACGTGCTACAGTTATCGCTCAATGTAAACTACTTGTGCTTCTCCTTTGGTATCGTGTACGTATGTGCTTCTCCTTTGGTATCGTGTACGTATGTTATTTTGCGTGACAAACAATACTTCACTCTGACCGACCGGTTGACAAAACAACAGAAACACTTAGACAGTTTTGACAAAACAAAACCTCTGTTCCTATACAATTCAAGATGTTCAGTAAAGGCAGAAGCCATTCATTATCAAAAGGGGACATGTTACTGTAAGAAAAAAAAACTCCATATATTCAATAAAGCACGATTTCATCTTCTTTTACCCCACATTAGCTTATCATAGGGGTACTCAACTCAAGTGCCTCTGGTTATCAAATGTCTTATCTTACCTCACGTTAGCTTATCATAGGTAAAGTAAGCATAAGGCACAGGGAAGATAGCAATATAGTTCTAATCTTGTAAATGGAGCCTCTTGGCCTTCTGCCTGGAAACTTTGCAATGAGCCACTGCACCATACATCCGGCATTCAGAGGTTTCCAGCGTTCATGAGTTTTGCTACTGCCTCGCCCTCTTGGAGCTGCAGCTCGGGCATTTGTAATGCTTTATGCTCTCCGCCTTGGCGGGAGTTATCTTGACACACTTGCCATGGTACCACCTCTCGCACATGTCGCACCCAATCCAGAACTCATCCGCACTGTATATCCCACCACAGGTTCCGCATAGGGTTTCACCGTGATCACTGTCATCTTCTCCATATGCTTCGTCTGTGTCTTTTCCATTATTTTCTATCTGCCGATCATGTTTTTGTCACGGTGTGAGAATAAATTGAAATGTAGAGAGAAACAATGGTAGCATCAATAACAAGTATCTTTTACCTTTGCAGGCTTGGATCTACCACCATTGTCCATACTGGACCGCTCTTTAGATTGTTGTTGTCTTGCACCAGAGACAACTTCAAAAACAGTTTGCAATTCATTAATCATACCAAATAAGCGCTTCCTGTTGGATGACAGTGAAAGCAGTGAGATATTAGCAACATACACCAGCTGAAGAAAACAGGAATTTAAACAAACTAATGGCACTGCAACATATCTATCCTTCCAAATTTACATAAATAAATATATAATCAAAGACTATGTTTGCAGTACTCTGATCAGCGTGACAACATTATCATCACCGAAAAAACAGACATCGTACAACTGAAAAAAAAAAGAAACAGACTATTGCTAGCCGAATCCATAGAAGCGAGGTATAGGAAGGTGAAGGTCAAATCTGGAGTGCTACTCTTTGGTGCAACAGTATCAAAAGGTTCCATGCTATTGTGGGGTCACTTGATTTAAAATGACTAATCCACAAAAACAACAAAAAAAACTCGCTCGTTAAAAGAGGAAAAAAGGTTTATCCTCCAAGTTGCTTGTACAGCATTCAAACGGATTACAGTATTTATATGAGTATCATCATGAAAAGAAAAGGTGCAGTGCAAAACACAACTTGAGAACTTTATATCCATATAAAAATCAAGAACATAGAAATTGAATAAGATAACAGGCTGTGAATATCAAAGGTGTGCTCCTTATGTAATTAACCCACATACCTCTTATGCAAAGAATGATCTACTTTTTTTTGGGTACATACTCTCTCCATTTGAAATTAGTAGCCATACTTCATTTCATTAGGACAAACTTTGACCAACAACTCTACTAATGTCATTTATGTGATAAAAATCATAATCTAGTGGCATTAACTTTGTATTACAAAAATGTGTATTAAAACAAATTGTTGGTCAAAGACTTGTCCTAACGAAACGAAACACTCCTACCAATTTAAACTGTGGGAGCACAAATAACTGTGCTGTAACTCTAAACGGATCATTACATATATTTCAGTATGGTATAATTTTTCCGAAACTCCATCACTCTTCAGATCATAAATAAACGGGAGAATTGGCTGTTGGACATGCAAAGTGATGGTCATTTGCTGGCGGACACCTCGTTTTCAGCATTTTGCCAGAAGACACTCTGGTTCGTTGAAATTAGGCCACAGGACACCGCAAGCCAGTTTCAGCCGGTTGAGCAGAGAGAAAATTTAGTTTTGGACATCCGGTGCCCCTGAGCCACAGTTGGGTCCGCCCCCAATGTGCTACAGTGACCAACCTAAACAGCACACCTCGCAATCAGCTGTACTAATTTTACAGCTCAACTCCAAAACAAACTTCGCTACCACATGTTAGCTAGCCATTAGCTCATGCAACAAATCAATTTTCTCTTTTGACAAGAACACCTCATCTCGATAGATACATGTAGATTGTAGATGCGCTTATTCATCTCTTATTACAAGATTATTTCTGACAACAACAAATCGCACTCTATATGTTGGTTCTCTTTGCAAAAAAAACAAAAGAAGAAAAAAAGAAAATAATATGCACAGAGGTGCTATGAGACAGGGGGTTACTCGCTGCTTTGAACTTCAATTTCTAAGAAAATAATATGCACATCATGCACTGTTGCAATGAAATTATAAGATGTAAGGCTGCAGGTGTCTCATAAGTCAGAATTTGGAAGTGTTTAACAGCATTTGCTTCCACAATTGGGTTGGGTTTAGAAAGAGAGATGTCAAATTCTTTTATTAACAGAGAGAATATCAGCATAAATGCAAATTCAGTAGCCACAATTGGCAGAAAAATTCCTGATTCTCCAAATCCATAACAGAATCTCGGGGCTATAGTCATGAAATGCCTTCCTCTAATAAAAGAATTTCCATATAGTAGATGGTAACCTTTAACTGTTTGGGTGTATCCAGCCATCCCAGAGACCAAGACATCACTAATTAACTGAAGACCTCATAAACATTTTTTTTTCGAACACGCAGGAGAGCCATACAACACACACATTCACACTATACAATAAACTAGCATACACTGGCCTTTTGATACAAAGTAAACCCGACATCGACCAGGACACTAATGTTTATGCCATGCCAAAATATGGCAGAAGTTAAATAAGATGCACAACAAGTGCAAAATTAGTCAGATTCACAGCTTCCACCAAAAATTACTTTTCCCTGTGGAAAGGGCCTTTAGAAAGTTGGCATGACATAAACATTGAAGAGAAATACTGTTTACAGAGAGACTAGCCCAAGTCCACACATGGAGTTTGGGACCACTGTTTATAGAGAGACCGTAGAAATACTGAGATGACTAATGTGTGAAGATGTTAATTGACACAGGTAAGAAGATTTCAGCACAAGCATGTGGCTACCAGAATTCAGAACTCGGTCAACTCACTATCATCACAGAGACACAGAGAGCCGTGAAACTACCTACCTTCTCATGATGTCATCACTTCCTGAGCTCATAACCGTTCAGCAACTAATGGTAAACAACCAAACTTGTCAAAAGTCTGTTTTATGAGCCTGTGCAAGTCTCTGTAGCTGTGTGTTTCTTTAGAAAGCAAGCTCCCCAACTACCCAAGACTTAGAACCACGGGTAAACTATCACTGGAAAACATAAGAGCTCAAAACAAAAACAGCAGTGCCCTTTGCATCAAACTACTGCTGAGAGAGCCAATAAGCTTCACCTTCTCCACTTGAGTGCACGGGTCAAAATCCTCATGAGCTAGGAAACATCAATCAAAATTATGCATCCTAGTATAATTACTGGCAACCAGGCATCACAAATCCTTGCGACCAAAACTATTGCTCTATGAGATGCACAAACTGTCCACTTACTCCAAAATCCCATTTCATCCGTCGTGAATTTATGAATTCAGTTAATTCAGTTATTCCTTTTTGTAAGGGAAAAAAAGAACACGCTGCGCTTCTGAAATTTCCGTCAACGGATCAAGCAAGCGCAACACAGTAAGCATCAAATCCAAACAGACACACCGTGACGAGAGAAGTAAGGCAGCGGGGATCGGTCGGAGGCAGCGTACCGGTCATTACGATTGAGCCGAGCGGCATAGTAAAAGGCGACGGAGAGGAGCCAGGAGTCGGAGTGGACGGCGACGAGCGCAAGCCAGTCGCGGCGGTTCATCCCGTCGCGCGCGAAGTTGATCCCCAGCGCGGGCTCCGGCAGCTCCGTGGGCACCTCCTCCGCCGGCAGCGCCACCTCCCACGCCTCGTTCGCGTAGCCGTACAGGCACAGGTTCTCCTTGTCTGCTCAAGCCCCACACACACAGCCCCCAACATAAATCAATCGCACGGCGGTTCGCCTGGAAGAAGGAAGGGATCGAGAGGGGCGACGCCGAAGCGCAACTCACCTGGATCGCACTGCGCGTAGAAGTCCTCGACATCTGCGAACGAAACGAGGAAGCAATCGGGTGAGGTTGGGTTCGAGCTTTCAAGTGGGTTAGGGTTCGGGGTAGCGGAAGGGAAGAGAGGACTAGAGTCGAGTCACTGACCGTGAGTGAGGGCGCGGAGGATGGCGGAGCGGCGGGCGCGGTAGTCCTTGAAGATGTCCTCGGCGGAGCGGGGAGGGTAAACGACGTGGCCGCGGCCGGAGGCGGCGTCACCCATGGCGGGCGGCGTCGAGGAGCGCGGGTGGTCCTGGCTCCTCTCGTGATCTCCGGCGAGCTGGTGGGTGAGGTGGCGGTGGCGGTTCGCGGAAGAAGAACCGTGAAAATGGACTACTCCTGCTGGGTGCGGGGGGCGAGGCGAGATGGTCAGATCGGAATGGGATGGGCCGGTACACAAATGGGGCAACCGGTATCCGAAATAGTAATCAAATTCGTCCCAATTCTAAACATACGGATTTTATACCCGTCGGGTATGGTTGTACTGCACCCAGACCAGAAACCCATATTTTCTATCCTGTTCAAACTATGTAAAGAAATCATCATCATCTAGCGTGTTATTTATGTTGTTGCTTATGTCTAGCCTATTTTGTTGTAATTCTGCTGCTATATGTAGTGCGGTGATCTTGATATATTTGTTTAGCTTGAAGTGTTATTGGGTAGTGTTTTATTATGGATGAAGTATATATTACATTTTTTTTGTGTGTTGCTGCATGTTACTCTAAGACTTTATGCGATATGTTTATTTGCTTATATGGTCTGTTTGCTCCTTTGTTGATTGTTGATAATGGTAATGATGTAGTTTCTCTTGGGTATGGGCAATCCAGGGTACGCACTATGGGCCTATTTGGTTCTCTCCTGGGTGAAGCTGTCTGGCCTAGGCAGCGCTCTGAGACGTTCGATTTTGGTCGCCTGGGTTCAGGATCGCACGCCTAGGAGCAGTGGCGGATCCAGGGGGGCTGCAGCCCCCTCGTGAGCTTGATTTCAGCAGCACTAAATCACTGTAGCAGCAGCTTCAAATCATCATTCAATCTTCATTGCAAATCAACATCTTCATTATTTAGCCTCCCCTTTCCCATCCTGGATCCGCCCCTGCTAGGAGGCTGCGAACAAATAGGCCCTATTAGCATAGGCACAAGTAAGACATTTTCAGTGAGTATAATTTACCGTATCATGTGTGGGTACGAACGAGCAATGTCCAACGAGTTAAAAAAAATTGTACCCAAACTGAGCCAAACCTAGACACCTCCAATTTATAATTATGCAAGGCTAGCCATGTCACAATATGCGCTATATTACTTAAATACACTAAGGTCTACATACTGATCTATGCTAAGGTGAGCTCTGCATGCAGTAAAATATATAGTCTATCACCTTTTCTCTAAAATGGATGGTAAATGTAAAAAGAACGAGTGGGGGTTAAATATTATTTATTTATTTATGGCACCAGATGCAAAGAAAAGCAAAAGGTGAAAACAGATTTAGAAAGTGAGCCTAGCTCAATCGGTTGGACGAGGGGTGTGATCCTGCACCCACCATCCAGCTTTAAGTTCTCTCTCAGTTTAAATTTAGGTGTCTATTTCTCTTCTTAATTAATAAAAACCCACCTACTCACTCTCTCCTGTGATATAGAGCATTCTATGAATTTTAAGACAAATTAAGAGGGAACATAAAAGACGCATGTACCCTCATTTTATTTCCTAATCAGACGCTATCATCAACGTGATTAATGGTGATTGGTTGATAAATGAAAAGTATTTAATACAAAATTAGTTTATGTTCTCTAGAATGCATTATATTTTATGACAAGTTTTGAATACTAGAATGTACTATATTACAGGACGGAGGGAGTAATTCTTTATGGGTAGGATCTCGCAAAGAGTTTCTAAATTAGCACATGTTGTCCAATATATTGCGCCTTGCTCTCCTCTCTCATCCTTGCACTTCTTGAACGGGCCCAAAAATAATTGGATTTTGTAGCTAACAAATAAATTATTAAGTGATATGTACTCCCTCTGTTCCAAATTATAGTATATTTTAGATTTATTTTAAATCAAACTTATGTAATTCCAATCAAATTTTTAGAAAAAACTATTGACATATATCGGTTTAAATAAATACACTATCGAAGAATTTAGTGAAACAAAATTTTATGTTGGTGTATTTTATATAATTTGGTCAAAGTTAGGAAAAAAACAACTTAGAAATAATTTAAACTAGATTATAGTTTAGAATGAAAATTGGTAATTTCATAAATGCCTCAAAATCCATTCTAAAGGAACTTTCGTGTTGCCTCCTGTTCTAGATAGGACAATTTCGGTGAATACAACTATCTCTATATATTATATGAATCCTGCAACAACTATCTCCATATATTATATGAATCCTGCAACCAAAAGCAGGTTAATGGATAGATGTGTCCGTTAGCTCAGCCATTGTATCAGGTGAACACAAGATCTGGTCCGTCCGATGTGTCCGTTAGCCCAGCCATTGTATCAGGTGAACACAAGATCTGGTCCGTCCGATGTGGATCAGTTTGGGTCTTCTACTTGCTTTATCATTTATCCGAGCTGTCACAAAGCTTCACGGGCCAAGTGGCGTTGCTTAGAATAGATAGGAAAAAAATAGTACAGCTACGAATTGATAAGCTCAAACGATATCTGGTTTAGACCGAAGAAGGGCAGTTGCCAGGTTACTACTACGACATCGTTTTAACGGATGCGCTGAGTGGATGTACTAAAAACTACTCCGTACATTTTTAACAGATAATAAGTGATGAATTATATAGTGATGATTGTATCGTTTTGTTCACTTACAACAATGCAGAATAGCAAAATGAAAATACAACCATACATTATGCATACAATTGCTAATTTATAGTGACAAAAGTGAGAAACAAAATGGTGACATGTTTCACTAGATCCTCCAGAACTGAATCCCTAATAACTATTAATTAATCCACATGTCAATACCGATTATTAGGCTCAAAATAAATCTTTTATCTCTTTTTTTTTTACAACATTGCACCCCTCGGATGCCTTTGTCTCGCCCTCTGCACTTCCATTTCGTTCATCCAGTCAGAAAGCCAGAATATACCTTTCCACAGCAGGTACAGACCAGCAGCAACGATTATTGACAGCAAAATAATCAGTAGCACTCTCAGGGCGTAAGTCTTGACTTCCTGCAAAATATAGATACATTATAAGGAGCACGAGTTTCAAAGAAAGCAGCAATTTGTGTACATCACAAACCTGGAATTTGGAGATTTTAACTTCCTGTCCACGGTCACGCCGCTTCCTGCGTTTGGGCACATTTACGACTTCCACAGCAGGGCTCTGATTATTTGAAAGCACGGGAAATGAGCACAGATGCACCAAAAGCTTGGATGTCCAAAACATTTCCAAAGAACAACAGAGCATACTAATTTTTGTATTAATATTAAAAAATGGTAAGACTCAGTACCTTGTTCTCCTGACTTTTCCGGAGATGCAACTCTGAGTCTAGAGCCTTCAGCTTCTTCTTGCAGTCTTCACCACAGGCAAGTAAGCCAACTCCAAACTGACTTTTAGGTACTTCTTTTGGATCACGACCAGACTTGCGGTATTCCTTGAGGACATCTTGACATAGCCACTCTTGTTTCAGAGTGCTGCATGCACAACGAGTGTTGACCTTGATAGATAAAGCATACAGTTAGTATAGTATAAATAAGTATGATTAACAGAATATAATTAAATCACAAATTCAAATTGTAAACAAACTTTCTATTAAGCAAAACACATATTCTCACTATACTACAGTTACAGCAGAAAGCTTGGTAACATCACAGATCAAGCATTGGTGTACCACTTCAACATTATTAGTTATTCACTTATTCTACAGTCTAAATGCCTGAGTATGTATGTCAGAGAGGACGAAAGCCTCAGACCATACCTTTTTCATGCACTGATCAACCGATGGGCATATACCAGGGTGACATACTTCTGAGCACAGATGGGGGCAATTTGGTAGTTTTCTGTACAAAAAACATGTTCAAATGCTTGATAAAATCAATTAAATGGAAATTTGTGATCGAATTTAGTAACAACAGAGAAGTTGCACCAATTTCAATACAAAACAGTTAGGAGCCAAACTGACCTATGACATGGGCCACCACACGTCCTGACTTTAATCTGTTCCTTTGCATTTAAGTTGTTAAAATACACACACTCAAAAGCATGCACCATAGCACCACAATGGCATGGTCTTTTAACAAGGACTTTACAAGATGGACAATCACTCAGATGGCATGGCAAAGGGCAAGGATGTGAACAAGGAGGCTCCCTAACCTGAAATAAATATTAGTCAATATTCTGCACCAAGCTTAAAATTATACGAAACCGCAGTAGCTTCTTCATATTAAGCTTTGTAAAACAAACTAAACTAAAGTTCTAGGGAAGGAAAAGAGAGTATCTAACCCTTTGACAAGGAAGATTGCATTGTTCACAAGGCTCAGCAAGTGCGTTCGCTTTACTGATAGATGCTATACGATCTCCTTCAGGTTGATTCAATGGGACTTCTAACACATGGCAAGATTTTGTACAATAATGGTTGCCACAGAGGAGAGGATTCCCACATAAATTTTCACAGGGAAAAGGCCTCCATTTGCAACAAGGCATCTGCAAGAAGTGGAAATGAAGTAGTATATGTTTTCTGTAGTCAGATTTTTGCACATGCCACACATGGGAGAGAGAAGCCACGTGGTAACAAATAGACCAAAAGATTGTGTTGTTCCCAAAAACTTACAGCGCGTTCTTGGCCAAGATGCTGCCCAAAGCATGGCACCAAAACCACCTCTTTGCATGGTGGGCATGGTGTCCCGGGTGTACATTCTATGTGCTTTCCCATTTTCTTTTTTGTCGGTTTCAGTGTGAACTCGGGGTTTGGAGGAGAAATAGGGCCATGACACCTGGATAGTGTATGAAGATTGTTAAGATAACAGAGGTGGTAATCCTTGATAGACAGCCAAGTGCAAACAAGATTTAATTACACATTTCTTGTAGTTCAAATACAAACCTTTCTTTACACGTGTGGCCACAAGAAAGTTCTTCCCCGAAGTCAGCTTGCAAGGTGGGCAGGCTCCATAGTGGCATTTGTGGGGCTAAGGAAAGAATTAAATATCACATAAATTCTGAGAATCCATTTGTAACAGCAAAAGCAATTGAACCTACCAGGATAGCTTCCTTACAAACAGAGCCAAACAACTCAAATATGGATTAAAGTAAAACTATGTATAACATGAATTCAAATGCATATATATTGTAATTATACACAGAAAAATATTGAGATCTACCCAACGACAGGAAAAGAAGGCACAGCAGATTACCCGGCATTCAAGCTTGTGTCGGCAAAGGCGAGGTATACTGCATTTCTTTGAGCATTTGGGTGGTTTCTGGTTCTTCTCAGTCCCACAAGGAACCTGCAATAGGTTTATGCATATTAAACTTGGTAATTAAAACTTAGCAACAACGCTACAACTATTCAACAAACTATACAGAAGCTGAGCCAGGAGACACTTATATAATTTTATTCTTTTTTCTTCTTATGATGAGCAAGTATCTTGTGTGCATGATGGACCAAGAAATAAATTTTATTTAGCTGAAAAGAACCTGTCTAATGAAGCATACAGCAGGAAACATAACTTATACAAGGAAACAAAAAACAGAACTGAGAGTCTACCGAATTCCACCTCAAAACATGTTTTCCCACAGGCGCAAGAAATGGTCTTCATCAGAGGACAAGGTGAACAAACACCTCTGCCAAACAACAGGAGATATGTTAAAGAAGAACCTTGAAAACTTGGGCATTAAGACGCAAAATCCAAAGACAAATGTAACAATCTCATGTATCTATTATGCACAACAGTAGGGGACAATCCAAATATTGGCATGTGCTACAAGCATACGCTTGAAAATGTAAACAATACATGGTAATCCAATGTGTATGTTTGATTTGGAGTTCAGACAGTACCTGTGGCATGGTGAGAGGCATTTATGGTTGCCACATCTGAGCTTCCTATCACAAGTCTACAAAAAGATATATCTATCTTTTAGCTCTTGAAAAGAATCTAATACCATGGCCAAAAAAAGAAAAGAAAAAAATGCACCTCAGAGCAGGGTGGGCAATCCCCAGCACAGCAACGTCGTTTACAAGCATGGCGACCACAGTTTCTCGAACGTTGACATTTTCTTTCACACGTCAATTCTTGGTAGCACGGCACCTGATGCATACATGCAATGCATCACATGAGCATGAAGGATTAAGAACTTGCATCCTGCTAACTAATAGCATAGAAGTATACATATGCAGCTACAGCGCTCAATGTTAGACTAAGGATGTTTGCACAACCTACTCGCCAAAACTCGGGGAATAAAATATGAGGAAGCACTACTTGTTGCTGTGTCAGGTCATATTTGCATATTATAAGGGTAAAAAGCTCAACAATACAAACTAATCTAAAGCACAGAGGCCTCCAGACATCAAATATAGGTCCATTGATCTTAAAGAAGTATGTAAGCTATATACAAGATTCCAAAGATTGTCTCTTGATGTACGCATTATGAGAATTAATTGCTAATAGTGTCTCTAAGTTGAATTTAGACAACCAGATAATTCCTCTGTTCGATTTATCCACTTACATGGATTGATCCATCACAAATGTACTAGATAATACTGTACCTCCTTCTTCAGACCCCCACAACGGCAGGCCTTTGTGATCACAAGACGGCAAGTCTCATCACATGGACCACGATGGCACCGCTCTGGGCACCTGTGTCGTCCACACCCAAGCACCTTCTCACATGTCGATCCACATGTGGCAGCCTCTGCATCACACTCCAACCTTGGATAATCCTTCTTCCCACACGGGCAAGTGCGACGACCTCGGAGTGGGCATTCCCCACACTTGCCCCCATGGCATCCCCTCTCACACCTATGCTTCCCGCAATCTAACATCCCACCACACTCCCTCTTGCACTGGAAAATCCTTTCGAAGCACAATTTCTCCTCCATTGTCTCTCCACACTCACATTTGTGACTCCCCCGAACTGCACACTGCGGGCAGGGGCCATCATGGCAATCCACTGGACAGCGGTGGAGTCCACAGCTAAGACGTTTGTTACATTTTCCCCCACAAGAGTAACGCTGATGTGCGCAGCGTCGGGGCTCCCGGTGTGCTCCACAGAAGCACCGTGCGTTAGGAACAACGGCTGGGCATGGCGGGCACGGCCCTGGATGGCACAGCAGTAGGCAGGTATGCTCACAGCCAGAGTTGAGATTGACATCAAGACTGCGGCCACAGACGTCGCCGCAAGAGTGGGGGAGGATCCAGGGGTCCGGAGCCGGGTCTACTGTCTTGGAGCAGAAGCAGACGTAGGAGGAGGGGGTCTCGGACTTGGGGTAGGCGAAGCGGCATTTGGGGCATCCCCAGGTTGGGCACGGCACGGCGGCGCCGGATGCTGACTGGTGAGCCCATGACTGGATGCAGGGGAGGTGGAGGATGGCAAAGCAGGAGGAGGAGCATGACCACACTGGGTCGGAGGGGCGGATAGGATCGAAGCAGATCAGGCACGGCGGCGATCGGCGGCGCGCGGCGGAGGAGAGGAAAATGCCAACTTTCGAGAAGTCGGCCCCCTCGCCAGCAACCGAGAGGTAGGCGGAAACAACAGAGGCAGTTGCGGAGTCGGAGGCGGTGAGATCGGCCTCGTCCGCAGAGGAAGATGAGTAAGAGGAGGGGTCGGAATCGGAGATGATGCTAGGGTTCACCGCCGGGGGAGCGGGTGCCGGCGACGGTGAGGGTGCTGGTGGGCGAGGAGTGGATGCAGCAATGGAGGTGCGATTCGGCTTGCGGGAAGAGGATCCGGCAGCAGCGGCGGCGTAGGAGGACGGCATGGCCGGCGGCGTGGTCGTCGCCGGAGACGGCGGTGGTGGTGCGCGCGTGAAATGTGAGGAGTGAGTGGCCTTTTGCAGGTAGATCCACGATATTTTCCTTTTGCTTTTTTTATAAACTATGTTGAGTGTCCGTGCGTTGCTACGAGACAGCAAAACTTTTATATTAAAAACGCATAGATCGTACGATAAATAACAGTATTGTTTAATAAAGGTACTTTTGATTATCATGAAAAAAGTATTAACAGGCAATATTATCTTGTCTATAGAGTCAGAACCTTTTATAGATGATATTCATTGGAAATATTATCATTTAATAGTTTCTTCCTCTGTTCATGTTCTTCTCAACAATTAACACTATCAAGATCCTGATATTAGATCTTGCTATGGATATAGATAGCGCTATGTACAATTGGCTATGTAAAAATACTAGTAAGACGAAGAAACCTAGGTCTATGCCCGTTGCAACGAAACAACATATACACAAGAGTTTAACTTGTTCTCGGTAAGACGAGACCAGCTAGCAGCCACACAAGCACATTGCGAGTTACATACACGAGGGACATATGGCGAGTTACATACACAAGGGGCACATGGCGAGTTACATGCCTACTAACCCATCTCCCCTCTCTAATATTGCAGCATGAACTTGTGGCTCCAATGATATTTCAAACCTTGTCTAATATTTTCAAACATCAAATATTTGCAAACCAGACGGAGTACAACGAAAACTTATTGCAACAAAAAAACTTGGATGACATAGATACAATCGGAACCTTTGTATAAAGTTAGTAAGGTTCCTAACAAAAACTATCAAAAACTATTAAGACACTCAAAATAGATATTGTCCACTGTAAAGTCTTTAAACCAGACTCTCCATTTTTTGAAGTATCTGTGTCGGCACTAATTAACAGGAAATAAGGACGTGAAGCAGATCACTAAGCACTGCCATCTTATCGAGAAGATCGTGAGCCTATGAATGCTGCCGGCGAAGAGGGACGTCATCTCCTATGCGGTTTCCTGGTCAATCTCCTCAAGGTTGCCAACATCTTGAGCACGTCTAAGGCAGAGCTGGTAAGGAGGGTAGGATGGCAGCTTGAGGAGGCCAGCGTTGTAGACCTATTGATAGGTACAAGGTTAATGAACCGAGATTTCTAACCATGCAAATATTACAAGTAACAAATAAAATCAAAGTTAGCATACAAGAGCATACTAATATGAAAAAAGAGCAGATAATGTAGGGAATTAGAAATTCATGAATGAAAAAACAAATTAAGTTTACTACCAAACTTGATCAAATAAGGCGCTATTTAGGCCACAATGCTAATATCAAAGCTTTCATAAACCAAATGAATTAACAAGACCTCACTATAAGATATCTTGGGGACAAAAGACCCATGCATTTACCTAAAACAATACATTATTCAGACGGCGCTGCATGGGCACAAGATCAACTCCTGGCAGGCACAGGGGACATGGTTGAGTAGGAATTCAGACTATCTTTTGTACCACTTTAATTATAAAAGGATCAGCTCATATAAAAAGTGTTTATGCAACCCCAATAATCCAAAGATATGACTGTTTCAAGATCTCAATTTCAGAAACATATAATAATCCAAAAGCAAAAGAAATGTACAATGTTTTCTACCATGAAAAATTTAGAAAAAAAATCAGCATTACAGGCTCAAAGAAGATAAGTTCATAATCACATATTTGAACCTGCACAAAGCAACACAAGTTCAAAATCATATATCATTGACTCCACCTGATTAATAAAATGATATGGATAAAACTAGGATGAATCATCCCTGCTGATACTAATTTATCCTATCACCACAACACTAACACAGTCCACTTTAACTCACATGATCAATCTGCAACATTCAGTTTCAGAGACACAAAACCAATGGATAAAAGATCTGAGCACATTCGCGAGCAATCCAAGAAGGGGGGAGAGAGGGATCAATCTCAGGTGGGTGGGAGAAAACCCAACATGAGAGGTGGTCCTTAAGGTTTCCTCGTCCTGCCTATTCCAGACCAGGTCCTCATGTGAAATCAAAACATGCAAATCATTCTTCAAAGTGAAAGTAATTCTTTTTGTTTGATAAACATGCTGAAATTCATCCATGTTTGCTAGTTAAATGGGTTAATTAGTATTCGTGCAAAGTCGCATACTAAAATTATCAGTCGTATGCACGAAGAGTCATATCCACATAGTCACGTACTAAAATTTTCAACTTGCAAGCCTTACAGTTTAGTAATAACAAGAATATTATGTTTTCATTATTAAGCATAGAACTTTGCATCAAAACTATCCAGAAAAGAAACACCATATAGTGATGCCAATAGAGACATCATCTCTAACACCAAACCTACCAGCTCTCAGATAACATTAACTGAAATTACCAACTCAATGTGACATACCTACAATTTTTCCAAGAAGACGCGACAAAGAATAATCTGAGAGCCTGCGAAGAAGACACGACAATGTTGAATGAGCAAAATTTGTAAAAATATGTCATGCCAGTTCACATATATATCAAATATGAACAGAAAGACAACAACACATCAATGGAAATAAATCCCTACTACTACTAAGACAGATGGTTGTATTTCTTTAAATTGTCAAAGTACTTTACTCATAGGTTCAGATCTAGCATTTTTACTTTTTATTGTATATTAATAACAATCTGGTACACTGCCATAGCAACAAAAGTTGCCTAGTATGCAATTTGACTAAATTGGTTTCAATCGTCCGTTCAGAACTTTGATGTAACAATATAGCTTCAAAACTTCTAGATCTTGTTCAACCTTTCAAAATGGTCTTGTAGTTCTGAGATAAAAAGAAAAACAATGTCATATTCAGATAAACTGTTATCTATGTATCAAACTCTTTCAACAAAGAAAATTCATTAAAAATATTGAACAGGCTCTCTGTCAACTTAACCAAAATTCAAATAAATTATTTATCATTATCTGTACGGAAAAAACTATTTATTATGAAAACCTAAAACCCACGTATATTTAATTTAAGGGAAAAACAAATTACAAATGGCTAGTTTGATGATAACACACATCAGTATCATATTAATTGTCTTATTCTGCATGCAACATATAGGACAGATAAAGTTGGGTGGCTCTTTGCACATTTGGTTATTATAATTTGGAGCGTTGGGGTAGTGAGCATACACAAATACAACAGTTATGTTCTAAAAACATATAATCCAGTGTACGGGTCATTGTAACGCCCCAGAGTCCAAACAGCTTAGATCCACTCTACACGCTGAGCGAACCACACCTACCACCATCCTACTTACGCTTTCGTCCTCGCTTCACGTAAAAGGATTAACCCGAGGATGGTGGGATAGACTCTAGAAGCCTTATATGTTGGTCTGTCCCACCTTTAACAACCAAGATGGGACTAAACTCTCTCCAATATCTCATTAACTTGTATATGGGCCACTATAGGCCAAATTTCAAATTGGGCCGGATGTCACATACACCCCCCCTCAAAGGAACCGACGTCCTCATCGGCAGTGGCGGAGCCTCGTGGAGGCCAAGCTGGGCATCGGCCCCCCCCCCTTGCTTGACTATGCTCCACTATTGTTCCTGTGAATGCATTCATTGTTTCATGTGATAGAGTGAAGAAAAATATTTAACTAAGAACACAGGTAGTCTGTAGTAGCTAGAAGTTAGAGGCAAGATGAATGGGCCCCTCCTTTGTTTGATGCCACGCTCCGCCGGTGCTCGTCAGCCCAACACACCCACAACGGGGCAAACGATGACTAGGAACGTTCCCTCTTAGCACATGCAACCGTGCGCCTAGTGCCGTCACATGTGCCATGCCGTGCACCCCGCAGGGCCTACCCGCACAATGAACCCCATGTCCGCGCCCCTGGCCCGCACGCACCCGTGGCTGCGAAGGTTGGCTCTGATACCATTTGTAACGCCCCAGAGTCCAAACGGCTTAGATCCACTCTGCACACTGAGCGAACCGCACCTACCACCATCCCACTTACGCTTTTGTTCTCGCTTCGCGTAAAAGGATTAACCCGAGGATGGCGGGATGGACTCTAGAAGCCTTATATGTTGGTCTGTCCCACCTTTAACAACCAAAGTGGGGCTAAACTCTCCCTAATATCTCATTAACTTGTATATGGGCCACTATGGGCCAAATTCCAAACTTGGTCGGATGTCACAGTCATGCTTAGCGTCACAAGATTCATAGGTCACTGGCAATTGAGCTTTAACTTTTGCACCAATTGTAAGATGAAACAGAGTTACCTATATGCCTTTTCTATCCAGGGACTAAAGCATTGTATGATGATCTATGTTAGAAAATGATCAACTAATTATTGTTCTCCTTCAATCTACAACTTTTCACTTTTGTTTTTGATCAAATTGCTCCCCTTCACTTTTCTTCTCCTCCAATCTGTGAAATAGAGTTACTGTAATATATGTATTGGCCTGTGCATTGCTACAAGCACAAAAAGTCATATTTTTAACCAAAAAAAATCATAAGCATGGATCGGAGAACACCACTGAGTGGTCCTAAGATACCAGCAATAGTACAAATGATACAACTAGCACACATCTCTTTTTATATATTAGAGGATCACATGGTTCTATGTTGTTTAAGATCTATCTTATTTTGAGTTGAATACTCTGACTCTTTTTAGATAAGCCAAAAAAATCAGCATATCAGTTAGCACTGATTTCTCTCTTTATACCGAACAAAATCACTGTTTCAGAAAGATAAATTTATTCCGTAGTAAAATGAAGAAGTGAAATCATTGATTTTGTTTAATTTCCATGGAGCAGTTAAAAAATATTTTGGATACCACCCCAACCACCCATATGGCATTCAAAAACTGATTATAAATGAAACACGGTCTCAATTGTCTATTGTTCACTTGTTATCAGAAAAAAGAGACAGGTACACATTAATAATACTTGGAGTCACATAGCACATGAAAACACTCTCTGTGGTAATAGCTTACAGG